GAGACCTGAAATGGCTCATTCTGGAAGGTGCTGAAAATAACAAGAATAAAAAGGCTGAATTAACTTTACGTGAGAGCGATTTTGTGCAAAGAACTTCGTAAACATGTTTTGTATTGACCACAGAACTATTATCTCTTAAAAAAGAAGTAGTTATATGTCTCCTTGAAAAAGAACTGCAGTATTATATATGAAGTAAATTTTTTATGTCTTTGAATTCAAACTTTCAACCTATCTACTTTTTACCTAAGTCTACAGTAGCATAGATGGTAGCTTTGCATGTTCAGCTGTAGATGCACAACAGGCCTGTTGTCCGCTGTGCCATTTGCAATCTGGTCAATCTGCAATGAATAGCCTGTTCCGCAGGGCTGCCTCCAGAGAAAGGAAGCTCCCGCAGCTCAGAAGCCTGAAACAACAGAGAATCTCTCATATTGTATCTCTGGGTATGAATTTCCATTTCTAATTTCTCTGGCGTATACCAGGCAGCCCCGTGGGCCAATACAGATGTCTCTGGCAATGACCTTAGTCTTCATTAATATGTATGCTGACAACCAACCAAAAGGAATAATAAAATTGTCCCTCTCTGGCTACAGTTTCTCTATGCTCCCGAGAGCATTAGGAGAGCTAACCCAAACTCCAAGTTTGCATCATGCATGCCTCTCATCTTCTTCTCCTCTGTCCATCTTGACCAAGTGGGGTTGGTCGGTGCTTACTGAGAGACATTTAAAGAGGATACCTCTCTTTTAATGTAACTGCTTAAAGTATCAGAGCTCACATCATACCACATCAGTGAGGAAACGTCTTTTGTTGGTAAAAAGGGGAAACAGTGATGCGATTGTTCTCCATTTTTCTTCAGTCACATCTTAGACAAGTTAACCTCTTTAATTAAGAGTACTTAGCTGTGTGGGCCCGGATGGGGCAGGAAGCGATTGCTGAGACCCTGCCAAGCTGGATCGGGTTTCTCGGTGGCCCATGCTTCCAGCCGAGGCTGAATGGGAGGCTGGCTTGTCAGCAGATGCTGTGCTCAGGGATCAGTGTCTTTCTGTAGGGTTACACGAGCACGTTTCCTCAAGACAAGAGATTAAAAAAAAAGAGGATGAGTAAAGGGTGTAGTGGTGAAACAAGGATGAGGGGAAAGTGGTACAGCGAGATATGTGCTCTGATGTTTGAAACTGAATACTTGGCATAGTCTGTCAGTTTGTTTCTGGCTCAGTGAGCATGTCAGCAGAGCGTTGTCCTCTGTGGGGATATTATCAGTAGTAGTGCGGTACATCAAAATCTCAAGAGCTCGACACAAGCCAGTCACCCGGCATGAGAGAGGGACATTTTCCTAAAGCGCTGCAGCAGAAGAACGCAGATTTATTACAGTTACCCGTAGATGACATCAGAGAGCCCGGTCTGTCTGAGGAGTCGTGTTCTAGTGTGAGACTGACACGACGCATACCGTCACTGTGATGTGACGAGTTCATCACGTTTACATGGATGTCAAAAATAAATGTAAATGTTCTGCATGCATAAAAGACAGGCATGGAGCTGGTTTGAAATGTTCCTTTTAAATAACTCTGGTTTTAATGAATCACAGCTCAGAGCCCTCAGTTCCTGCAGTAATGGCATCCAGCCCGCCGTATTTGCATGGTAATTTCATCCAGTGCCTAACTTTAAATGAATCCATACGTCATGTGGTTTCCATGCTGTATCTGGATGGCTTTTTCCAGCTCTTTGGAGAGAACAAATGGTCTTCAAACTGTAGTTTTTGATATCTTGTAGATTTCTGCCTGTGCCACCCACATCTGTTCTAGGAGTCTACGTCCCTCTGATTTTAACATCCTAGCCACGCAGAATTCAAATAAAGGTGGCGTGAATGTGTTTTAAGTTAATCTAATTCATATTAGTAGTAGTAGTAGTGGTAGTAGTTTTGGGGGCTTAGAAACATTTACTCTCCTTTTATATTTTAATAATTTACTTTACGTTAACATTCTTTTCACTATATTTTAAATGAGTTTTATGTTTAGGTTTCAACTCAAAGTAGAATAGATTGAAATAGAATAAACTTTTACTATCCCATGAATGAGAAATAGCGCTATATACTGCATACAATCAAACAAACAAAATTTATACACACAGAAAATGTATAAAAATGTACAAATAAGCATGAAAATGTACGCAGGGGATTAACTGCAGTCACATAATCGATTTATTTAATTTACAATAAAACACTTTGGCAAGAGAATCTGAATTTTACCTTCATTTCAGGAAAAAAATGATACTATTGCAAACATTTATTTATTTTTTATGTACTTATACAGCTTCTTCTTTACTTTTTAGTTTTTTTTTTTAACATTTTTGCTGTTTGGTTTCAGTGTCAGGGTTGCAAACAAAGCAAATCAGCTTGTTATAATAATTTATAACACTTGTAATAAAAAAATGGGTAACACTTTATAATAACTACATCTTATTTAGCCATAATTACACATGAAAAACATGTAACTACTAACAAATAATTAATTAACAATGACTCTTACTTAATAAACAATTAACCAATGCATTTATTAATGCTTTGTTTTTAATGATTAGTCCCTTGTAAAAGCTGCTTACTCATTTCTTATTCATATGTAACAAGCCATTAACAAAGTACTTTTAAGCAACTGACTAACACATTAATTAATGCTTAACTTCTAATGACTAGTTTCATGCAAAAGCTGTTTATTTATGGCTTATTCATACTTAACAAACCATGAACAAAGTTCTTATTAATGGATTTTTACTTTCACTGCGACACAATTTAGATATGTAATAATGATTAGGAGGTAACTAATACATGATTTACTAATTCTGCAATGCATTATTAAGTGGATTGCTAATAG